GCTATATTTGATAACACATACTTAGATCCAAATATTTCAAGACCTTCATGAAATATTCATAGCTTTATGTTCATGAAATCCTCATTGCAATTCATAAATACTAACAATAATATTTTACAAAGAGAAAAAAATACTTATAAAATTAAGTGATATGATTTGACAAAGGCCTGTCAGTAAATCTCTGGCTAAGATTAAATAGATTCCGTAAATCTAACTATGTAGTCTCAAGAGGAAACAATGAGCTTTCTCCCTCTCCCTCACCATCTCTCTGCTTATCTTTGTTTTTTCTTCTTCCAGGTTCCCTTTCTTCGCTTTTTTCATGTGATCCCATTTCTACCCTATGCCAAACATAGGAAAGAATGAAATAGAGAAAATGGAACAATCCTTGTAGAAGCCAGAAAGCAGAAAATTCTTAAATTCCTCAGAGAATTCACCCTTTCCTTTTCTGTTACCTTCATTTTCCCCTGCAACTACTTAACAGTTATAAAAGTGTTACTGAGAGCTTACTCTGTAGGTAAATCAAATGTCATCCTAAATGGGCTCAAAACCAAAATTTTCTTTGCCCAGCAGCCTGTCAGAACCATACTGGGATTTTAACATTCCATATATTTGCATCTATTTTATCCCAAGAAACAATAAGACCAACAAGATAAGAAGTCAACCTTCCACTGACATTTTTTTCCAGCATTAACCAAGTAGTGCTTTTCTTTTTTAAAATCTTCTTGCCATGAGGACACATGGACATGAGACTGCTAGAACTTAACCAAGCAATGTCAAAAATATGAGACAATATAATTGTATCATTTGTGCAGAAAAAGTACAGAAATCCTTCTAGATCCTCATGTCACTAGAAATCTGTTTATCAGGACAATGAACCTGAAGGACATAATTTTTCTTTATTGGACAGTTTGATTTATAACACTAATATTGAGCAGATAATAAGGTACATATCAACTAGTTTTCAGATCCACCAAAAAAGTATCAATGTAGACAGCCTTAAAGTGTTAACACAAAATCAATATTTGACATATTAATATACTTAAATTTTATGCTGAAATGCATTAAGGGTTTAATGGAAGAAAATAAAATTATTCTAAGGTTCCAAATTAAGTAGAGTTCATACCACAAACAACATATCATTTTCACTATTTCCTGTTGTAAAAGTTCTAAAGCACAGTGGGGGGAAAATTGTGTAGTTTTTCACTGATATAATAATAATTTAAGTCTCCTATGATTAAAAAAATGAACTAAGATTAGTTGTCAGTTTTGACTTAGTATTAAAAGTGTTTTATTTTTTTGTTAATAATCATTCAAATGCCTGTAATTTTAAAAAATTAATTTCACAGAGGTCTATTAATATTTCTTTTTAAAAAGAGTGAATAAGCAAAGAAAGAGTGCAAAGATTAAAGAGCATTTCAGTGCATTTGAAATATAATTGGGCATGTGGGAAGATATTCAATGTGCATGATAAAAACACATATAAAAATAAGAGCTGAGATATTAGAACCTATATAGTAAAAAAGGAAAATCCATGAGGGCTATTAACTATTAACATTAACTCTTTTTGGTGAGGAATACTCAGTTATTTTGATAATTAGAGTTTGGTGAGACATGAACCATGTAATTTTGCATTTTTCTAAAATGTAGAGCGCTGTGTTTTAATCTATAATCAATGCCTTCAGTGCAGAACCGAGCATAGGCACTTAAAATTAAAGGAGCATACTTTCAGTTTTGTTTTTTTTTTTTTGCACACTGAGTATTATATCAAAATTTTAGATTATTTTCAAGATCCTTTTTTCTTCTGATCATAAAGTGTTTGGCAGTAATCTGGGCCCCCATCTGCTGGTCAGCTTGAGAACTCCTGAAGTTAATTTAACTGTGTCTTTAATTTCTGCTATTACTTAATGTTGGCACCCATTCCCGCTTGCACAACACTGCACATTTTATATGCTTTACAATAATATTTGTAATGTGTCCCCACAAAATCAAATCTTGAATTTTATCTTTGCAATTATCTAAATTAGGCACCATAATTTTCTCTAAAATACAGCGGAAAAAACAATTAACTTGAGACAACCTTATTTATGCCATTTTTTTTAGGATTTAGAGAGCCTATGAAGCAGACTCATTTGAAGAAAAATGTCTCTTGAATTACTAAATATCTCTTACTTGTTATGATTTTTGTTTTTAAGTTTCATTCTATAAGAGAAAATTGTTTCTGATAGCCTGACTACATGATCTCCAAGGCTCCTATCAGTTCTAAAATTCTGCAGTTCTATGAAAATAGATTGATGAAGAATATGCCCAAGGAAGATTTTATTGCAAAATCACTTCTGTCTGACTCAGGCCCTAAAACTGAGGGTTTGAACTAAGGATATTTTAAAGCCAAATAAGAACACTTCTGCATTATTCATAAGCCAATTAACTAGATAAAGGAAGAAACATTTCTCCAAAGACGTTGATGATATGTGTTCTTAAAATAGCCTTGCCTTTGTTTTCTTTTTCCTTTCTTTTCCCTTTTATTTTTTCTTATAATTATATTATTTGGGATGATTCAAATATCTTCTTCCTGACACATTAAAGCTTCAGCCTCTTGTTACTTCTTTGACACTGTTTTAACATACTCTTAAATGGATTTCATACTTCATCTGCAATAAGCCATATTGTTTCAATTAGACCTAACATCCACATTCAAGAAAAATAAAAAGATATTTACTTGGATTTAGTTGAAATTTTTTTACCTGCTTCTCTATTCTAGATAAAACATATTTCTAAAGAAAATCAAACTGCTTACTCTCATAATATTAACAAACTAGATCAATCTTGGGAAAACAGGTAAGAAAATGTCACCAGGAAACTTTTATCAAAACAGTAAATGGTTAGTCCTGGAAGAAGAGATGTATCCATTCAAAATATGTTTTTACTATACTCCAGGCTTAAATTTCCCTAAGGCAAAGAAATTTTGTTTAACAAAGAAGCCCTATATTATGCAATCCATACAAATTCAGTAAGCAAGACTCAGCTTTAAGTCACCAAATGTTCTTACACTATTCTATGTACTCTATTCTGGCTGACATAATCTCTGGCAACCATTTATAGAGCATTCAAACGAGATCCAGTCTCCCATTTTTAGAAGCACACACACACACACACACACACACACACACACACACACACACACCCTGAATTTCACATTCACAGTTAGTTGCTATGTCTCCTCTCACCTTCACAGTCCATGTTGGAAAAAACCTGCCAGTCCAATAAATGTTGCCCCCAGCCTTATATCTCACATTTGTGCCTCAACCCACTGCAGTCTACTGTTGATCCCCCTTCTCAGGTGAAAACGCTCTTCCTAAAGCTTTCCACATTGCCAAAAGCTAGTGGAATTCTTTAGTTAACATCTCAAGTTAAATGTTTCATGACATCTTAAACTGATAAACTAACAAGCTCCTATAAGCACCGCTATCCATGGCTTCCTTTCTGTAGTCCCATATTTTAATTGCTCCTGGAGAACATCCTTGATACATAATTCTTCCTGGCCCGCATAGCCAGTTAGCAGGTTCTGCTGGTTCCACCTCCAAATGACTCATGTGCATCATTGTTTTCAATCTCTCCTGCCTTCCACTAAGATGACCCACTATTACCTCTCACCCAGGCAATCCTAGCAGAATTAAGGTTTTAAGTAGACAATATGTTATTCAGAAATTGGGTGTTTCAGTCTCTAGAAATAGAGACTGGGCATCACAGTTGCCTAAACAGCACAGCATTTCAGCCCTCCTATTCTAGAATTCCTAAGGTCAGCAATCCAAGCATGGCATGGCAACTTCCCTTTCATCAGTGACCCAGACCCTACTTAGAAGTGGCTTCCATCTCAAAGTGTTCCTCATGAACTAAGATAGCTGCTGAGGTTAAGGCTTAAAACTTAATAAAGGAGAAATAGACAAAGAATGGCCCATGGCAGCTCTCTGTTTACCATAAAAAGTCTTTCTAGGAGTCCTGCAAACCAGCTTTCTCTTACATATCTTTGGCAACCACTAGCTGCAAAAGAGGTGGGACAGTGTTATCTTTCAGCTGGTTCTGCTACTAAGGAAGAAAGTGAGAATGGATCTTGCATAGCAATATACGGAGAATAATTTAATTCTCAGGAGGAAATCAAGAAGGTAAAAGTGTGCATGTAGCTTTGTGAGCTAAGATTCACATACCCCAGTCTGTCTCCCCTGATAGTAAGCTTAGAGAAAAACAGGGTGTATTTCTCTGTTACAATTATATCCAAACATTTAGTTCAATGTCTTCTACTTAGTAAGCAATCAACATATGCTGAATGAATAAATAAAATAACTAATGAAGGAAGAATGGGTAACTGAGTACTTGTGATCTTCCATCACTCAGCATCACTTAGAGTTTACTTGATGTTTTAACGCAGTACAAGAGGCATCAGTGCTACTTAGTATTTCTGGAGCTCTGTGTCTGGAAACATGGTAAGATTGTATATCCATCATTTCTTGTGTCTGGGTGAAGCCGCATGATTGTGGCCAATAAGCAGGAGCAAAAGTGACATGTGTATCTTTTTGGGCATCAAAAGAGGGATATAACCGCCAACAGGAGATCTGCTGGAGCTTTCATTTCTACTGCCACACCAACCAACAATGTCTAAGCTGGGGGTTTCTCCATTAGCCTGGGACTCTGAGAAAGGTGACATGGAGCAGATGACCTGCAGTAAATGGGGTCAATATCATATCCCCTGGATTCTCAGACTTACTTTCCTTATCATACAAATGCAAACTCTTAAGGTAGTCGACTGAGGAGACATTTCACTTGCTATGAGTACATTAAATTTAAGTTTTAGATCCATAATCAATTTGACTTCTGAAACAGCCAAATTTTAAAAGTCAAGGTAAAAATAATCAGTTTTATATAACTATCATAATACACAAATCCAGTGTGAATAAAAATAGAATACTTAGGGCAAAATATAATTTCAAGAAAATCCATTGCCTTAATATTTTAAAGAATCTAGAAATAATTTTTCTTAATTGTAAGTGGTTACATTTGAATCAGGGTGACTAATAGCATTATCACAAGTGGTAAAATTAAAAGAGTTCTTCTTTAATCCCTTTTGCTACACATATAAATTAGTCATGTGTAATATGCCTTCACATGTAATTGTATAACATAAATATTAAATAATGCAATATAATAAAAATATGCATGCTTTTAAAAGACAAAAATCTCACTGTGGTAGCTTTAAAGTATACAAATCTGGCTAATTGATTTTATTTCTTATTTTTTAAATCAATAATTAAATGAAGATTTTGAAAATTGATTAAAAGCTATAATATCTTTTTACTCTGAAATTTTGTGGACCATAAAAATTAAATGTAACTTGGTTAATACCAAACAGTATTCTTTTTCACACATAGTGTAAGTGAAGACTCTGTTCTAAAATATCAGAAAATCGTTAAAAAGCAATATTTAGTTTCTTTCAAATGGGGAAGTCTTAGGTGCTTTTAACTATTTTTTCCCAACATACAATTTTTTGGTTATTTGGTTATATGACTTGGATCCCCTGCATGGTAATAATTCTAACTGGACACTTGAGATGTGCTTGAGATACAGTACCCTTTGCTAGATGAGCTGACTATTCTCTATGAAAATGAAAAAGATGTTAGGTTGATGTCTCTTGCTTCAAATGAGTAATAGATAAATTAACTACCCAGGCAAGAAAAGTAAATGAAAATAATTGGGTATCTCTTTTCTTGTAATTTCAACTTATAACATCTCTATAGATAGTGTCATCTGAATGCAGATTGAAGCTAAACTTGTTAAAGGTTCTGAAGTTCAGAGTTTATATACAATTTTGTTCTCCAGTATATTTCTAAATTTCGTGAATAACTTAAGATGCCTACTAACATCACTTTCCTAACAAAAGCAGAGAAAAACCTAAAAGAGTTTAATGAGGCAATGTAGGCAGTAAAGGGATAACACTGAAAATTAAGATGTAAATATAAAAGATTTTTAGATATTTTCCAGCATGTTTATTTGATCCTAGGACACTGAATGTTCACATAATGTTGAAGATTATAGACTGAATCTTCTATATAATAATTCCAGAAAAAACAAGAATCAAACATTGTCAGATCAGCCCACTGGCAATTCCAATACTTAGGTATACAAACCTCATTTACTTTTACTTTAAGACTGGTCTTTCTCTTGAATTAAATGATGATGTAATTTGAATAAGTCACCCAAATCATCACCATTCTATTTCACATGATATGTCTTTGTAAAGGATCAAAATGAGTCAACAATGACACAATGCCAGGAAGGTTATTTGGTCCAGAAATCATATGCTCAAGCAGACCATGAAGAAAAAGATTGTAGGTATGGCATATGCTTGACAAGCCATGGAATACCAGCTGGGCTCTGCTTCCTCCAGGAAGCTCTAGCTGGGTGGTGGTATGGCATCCTTCCAATGGCAACAGTTTCCTTTAGGCCACCACAGAGTCCAAAAATTTGGGCCCCTCCTGGTTCATTAGATCCACACAGTCATCAAGCAGACACATGTTGTGAGTAGAAGCTGAGGGTGGGCACAGCCTGATGTTACGCCACAGGCTAGCTCTTTGTTGTCTTTTAAATCTACCCATTGCCACAGCCAGTTTGCAGATTCCTGGTCACTCTGACTTGAACTTTGTTTTTGATGACAAAATATTTGGTTCCACAACTATTCAGAGTCCACCCTGTGTCTCTTTTGACGTTAGGTAACTTAAATCTATTTTCTTATTTCCTTCCTTACCCTCTTTAAAATAACAAGAAAAACTTAATGGAACATTGAATTTTCTCTATTGCAAATTCTTAGGGTTTCTGTCTGAAGAGATTTGAAATACAACATGAAATGATGTACTCACATCCCTCCCTACCACCTCCAAATAACTGAATTACATAAATAAAACATTATAGGAAGAGTGCTTTGCTACAATTTATGGGAAGCAAATTTAAAAAGAGCTGGCTCATTGTAGGAAAATTCAACTTATCTTTTCCCGATCCTTTTATTTAACACAGGGAGAGAAATTTATGGCAGTTTAAAAAAATCTATTACTGTTTCTCATAACTGAATCCATTATTTTTCTCCATGATCCATCAGGTAAAAACAAGAATAATAGATTGCTTTGACAGAACCTTGAACATAAATGTCCCCAAGAATCAAACACAGTAAGTTAAACGGGTTTCAGGTAGTATTAAAACAGGAAAAGATAACCTTCTTTTCATATTTCAAAATCAGATATTATTAAAAAATTTATTATTATTTGCTACTAAAAGGAAACAAACCATATAGCAGCTGAATTTGCACATTGAAATGGGAATATTTCTATTCACTTCTATATGTGCCCAAGAAAAATTAAACATGAAGAAATGATTCCAAAAACAGGAACTATTTTCTTTTCATTTTTGCTAACTGGTTTTTCATAATTTACTCCTTGATTTCATTTGGCTAGATGACTTTAAATAAATAAGTGAAGTTGTTATATACACAATCAACGAATTTAAAAGATTAGTTTTGCTCTTATCTTAGAAATAGTTTCTGTTCATAAAGGAATTAAGGGGTTATATAATCTTTAGCTTCACATGACCCATTTTATTCCAAGGTCGTCAAAGAAGTTTGGGTGTATATGCACACATCTGCCTGGAATAACACACACACACACACACACACACACACACACACGTATACATTTAGAGAGAGAGCAAAGACGGAGATGAGGTAATGATGATAGATGGGTGGATAGATAGATAATTCTAACAGTTAATTCATCTCAGGAAATTTTCTCCTTAATGAACACCTCTCCAGCGTCTCATATTCTCTACTTTTATTCAGATAAACCAACCTCCCAACTTATCTCCGAGGAAGGTCACCACATTCCCAGCTTCAGTGTTAGAACTTATTCTAATCCAATCAGCACATAGCATTCACATTAAGTCTATTATTGGTCCATGCCTGGGCACAGTTTGCCTGAACACAAAAATGAAAATAATTTTTAATCCAAGCTGGGGATGGAGATTTCCCATTTTCTCCTGCTAGATGAGAAGAGAATGAAGAACCTCAGTTTTGCCATTGATAGCCAGCTGTTACCCTGCGAAGGAGGGCAATGCTGATGCCAGAGGGAGGCTTGGAAAAGACGTGGGTCTTTGTTGACATCATTGAACTGCTAATGATAATGAGCCTGGAGCCCTCCCTACTTCCTATCTCCAGTTAAAAGAGTTTACAAATTTAGTTCTTATTTAATCTACTCTGAATTTGAGTTTCTGTGACTGTTCAGATAGGCACCTCTCCTTTAAAGAAAGATAAGAGAATATACAATATCCTCTTTTCTCATGGCGTGTTTCATTCCTATTGCTTTACCCTGGAAGATCTTTGAAGATATATTTGAGTTTGAAACTTCTTTGAAAAAGTCTACCTAGTCATCTAATGATAGAGAGAATTTAATACATCCCATTGCTTAAAAAAAGCAATACTTTTGCTACAAAGGTTAATGCAAATTTAAGGTGAGTAAAAACCCTCTTATCCTACCAGGCCAAAAGAAAAATTTCATAACCAAGTTCAGATATTATTCCTAGCCTCTAGTTCTGAAATAGAGTTTGTCCTATTTTGAAGTCCATTTAAAACTCTTGTCTGTATGCCAAAGGGTACTTCTTTTTCTTTATTAATTACTCAGAAGTCTAGGCCATAGCAATCCTACTGTTCTCTCATTTCTCAGACTTTGCCGACTATTAGATGTTTCTCACATTTCCATAGATAATAACTCATCAGCTTTACAACCTGATTCTCAACATTAAGAGATTAAAACTAATGTATATGACTCTCAGATGACACATACTGAGATATAGAAAAATTCCATCATTTCCTTCTGCAAAATGAAAAAGATTTTAATTCATTTTCTCAACAGCTGCATCTTTTTTTATGCATAGAAAAAAAAAACCGTGCAATTACTCCAAGTACAATCAAGTCATTTAACATGGCTTTACCATCATTGTAGTTACAGGATATTTTAAAAGAGAAAAAAAAAATCTCAAAGCACAGGTCCTGCTGTGCAGCAAAGCAATCAAATTCTTTCATAATAACAGCCTGATGGGATTCAGCAATCTGAGGAATAATGAATAACCACTCTAATCAGTAAACAGGAAAATGCTACAACAGTCACTGAGTAAAACCTGACTATCATCTGTTGATTCTCTTGATCGGCATTTCAAACAATAAATAGAAATGTAAGTATCTCTTAAAAAGAAAACTAACTTTGTTTAGCATGCTTAATTTTACCAGGCAGTGAGAAAATTATATATCATCTTGACTGTCCTACAGTGTTGCCCAGTCAATAAAATGCACAAATAATCTTTTATATAATACATGGCCAACTTTATCCCATCACTTCAATTTGTCAAGATAAACTGATTTTGCAGTTGGTTGATAATTTTGTGTGAATTATTTGAATTTGTTTTGCTACTTCATTATTTGATATTCTTCTCCAGTGTTCATCTTATAAAGTTATTTGCATCTGAATACGAAGATTCTGTTTCAAAATAGTCCTCAAGTTTCCAATGCAATGTCTCAAATGTAGGTCGTTCCTTAGGCTCTGCATTCCAGCACTCCAACATGATGTTGTAAAACTTCTGTGGACAGTTGGATGGTTGCGGAAGTCTGTAGTTTTGAGCCAGCACCTGAATTACCTGGGCACCTGTCATACCTAGAAAATACAGAATGGAACCAACAAAAAACGAGCTAAAGATCAGAGTCTTAAACTTATAGCCACTTATATTCTAGGTTACTAAGTAAGTCAATTTCCTTGACAAAGCTTTGAGGTCTGCCATCCCCTTCCTAGGTTAAACAGATTAAACTAAATCCTGCAGCAAGTGATGTCTGTAAGACTGCAATTCAATAGCAAAGGAGAGGGAAGCAATAAACCACCTCATTAATGCAAATTACCATCATCAAATTTTATCTATCAAGTTCCCGCAGATACATGGTATGGTCAGCCTCATAAGTCTGCCCTCTAAGTCTGGGCAAAGCAGTTAAAGTCACACCTAAGTAAGTGACCTGCAGCAGAAAGGCCCACTTCAGAATTAATTACTCACCACTATAAGGCATTTTGCCATAAGTAATGATTTCATAAAGAAGGATTCCAAATGACCACACATCGGACTTAATGCTGAATTTATTAGTACGAATGGCTTCGGGTGCAGTCCACTTCACCGGCAGTTTTATTTCGTGTTTGGATTCATAGATGTCTTCATTGTCTACCTGTTAATGCATTAAGGAATCAAGCCAAAGCAGGAGGGCGGGCAGGCGGGGAAAAAAAAAATAATAATTTTTTTAAAAAAGGAATCAAGCCAAGTTAAAGCAATTTTTTTTGTTACCCTCATTAATCTATAATCTGCTTCACATTAAAATTTAGAGAGAAAAGATTCAAAAATCAGCTTAGATCAGTTGACAATTACAGTAGCAAATTCTGAATCTGGCATACAAGACTGTTAAATATGTGGGAAGTCATTAGTAAAATATTATTTGAGAGCCTACTATGTGCCACAAATAGCACTGAAAGAAATATTCTACTACATTTGGATAATGAATACATGATGATTCTGGCTTCACATCTGGTCTTGAACAAAAAAAAAAAGGAAGCAAAGTCTATTGTCACTGACTTTGATAATTACTGTATAACGACTTGCTAATAATGAAAAGTAGGATCCAAGTGATTAAAATTAATCTATCAACTCACTGGGGTACTAATTAATTAACAAAAAGAAAAAAATGATGAATTCATAAAGATTAAAAAGGAATCATTATTTGTTGCTTCATGCCCTTACACCCATATTTTTAGGGTACAATATGGAAATTTAAAACTAATTTAAGAGAAAAACACTTAATATAATGTCTCCTATATATTATCTTTCAGACTGAGATAAAAATGAAGGAATTTTAAAGCCAATGATTGCTGAAGAATTCTGACAGCATCGAAATTGGTCTGGCACACAGTGAGTAACAGTGGTTAGGATAACACTGTACAAAGTGTGTTGCTTTTGTAAAGGAAATAGAGGCAAACAGAGGTAACTGGTACTAACTGAAAAACAGATCATTAATTCAACTATGAACTTAATTACATACTTTCCAATCTGGTTGGTCATTGTTTTCTCTATTTTTTTCTTCTCCTTAGTAAAGAAATAGGAATGTGTAGGTAGTTTGTCTTTAAGATCTTGGACTATTGAACTGGTCTACGGACTACAGAACTTGGAGAAACATTGTTTTAAAGAATAACAGTGTGTCTATTGGTCTACTAACTGTTAGCCTTTGGGCCTATTACAAAAAGTAAATAAAACAAAATTAAATCCACCTTAAAAACTCTGGCAAGTCCAAAATCTGCTACTTTGTAGATATTATGTTCACCAACGAGGACATTTCTGGCAGCCAGATCTCTGTGAATGTAGTTCTGAGACTCCAGATAGGCCATTCCAGAGGCAACCTGTGCCGCTATGTCTACCTGTTGAGTCAGATGGATTTTTGACCCAGCATCATCTGAGCAATAGGAGAAAGGTAAGAGATTTACTTTAGAGAACATTTGAACTATTAAAATGAATTTTGAGAATTTCATATCAATGAGCTATCAGGGAGATTAAGTAGAATGGCACTGATCTGTTGAGCAAAATATATATATAAACACAACTTAATTTGCTGTGAAAGGTTAATAAGGAAACAATTTTTTCAGAGTCCAAACATATTCCAAGGCCCTCCCTTCCTTGAATGAGTATTACAAGTAACAAGTTATCATATGATCCAAACATGGCTACAATTATCTGAGAGTCTGGCTGTTTTTCCTTTTTTCTTTTTTAAAAAATTTATTTATCTTTTAAGTTCAGGGATACATTTCAAGTTTTGTTATATAGGTAAACTTGTGTCATGGGGGTTTATTGCACAGATTATTTCGTCATCCAGGTATAAAGTCTAGTACCCATTAGTTATTTTTCCTGATCCTCTCCCACCTCCCCACTTTCATCCTCTCATAAGACCAAGTATATGCTGCTCCCCCTTATGTTGGTGAACACAGTTCCCACTTATAAGTGAGAACCTAGGGGATTTGGTTTTCTGTTCCTGCATTAGTTTGCAAAGGATAATGACCTCCCCCTGCATCCATGTTGCTGCAAAGGACGTGATCTCATTTTTTATGGCTGCGTACTATTCCATGGTGTATCCATACTACATTTTCTTTATCCAGTCTACCATTGATGGGCATTTAGGTTAATTCCATGTCTTTATATTGTCTTTGCTGCAATTAACATAATGTGCATGTGTCTTTATGATAAAACAATTTATATTCCTTTGGGCCTATATCCAGTAACGGGATTCCTAGGTCAAATAGTAGTTCTGCTTTTAGATATTTAAGGAATCACTGCACTGTCTTCCACAATGGTTGAACTAATGTATACTCCTACCAAGAGTATATAATCATTCCTTTCTCTCCACAGCCTTGCCAGCATCTGCTATTTTTTGAGTTTTTAATAAAGGCCATTCTGGGTGGTGTGAGATAGTATCTCATTGCGGTTTTGATTTGCATTTGTCTAATAATCAGTGCTGCTGAGCTTTTTTTCACATGATTCCAACACCACATGTCACTGACTTATTTCTTCATGGAAATTTTATTTAACTCATACTGAATGTCTTTCAAGTATTGCATACTTTGTTTTAGTCATTGACCCTATAAAACAATATTAACTTTTATGACTGAGCCAATTAAAATTTCTCATTCTTCCATCATATTGTTTTTAAAAACTAGCTCACTAACACAAATGAAGGATTATCCATAGTTATTAAGTATATATATTACATTTGTACCACCAAGCCTGATACATTATTTTATTTCTCTGCCTTAGCCTGTTATTCTTAGAATACGTTGCTCATCTCTCTGGGAATAAGTATACCTTCAATAGGCAAACTTTCTCCTAATGCTCATTCTTTATAACTAAGTATAAAAAAATTTATATAGTACAATCAGTTAGATTATTAGTAGAGGGAGGTCAGTACTATTTTGTGGTGATGGCTCTGTATTTGTATTTGAGTTACCTATTTTATATTTGTACGTAAAATAATACTGACTCCTTCTACTTTGAAATGGGGTAAGTCATCTGCGGGTAGGATTTAGCTGCCATACTGTTGACAAATGTTTTCATATGCCTGGAGAATTAAAAGAATTTCACATCAACTTAAACTAATATTATTTTTACATAACACTGTCTGAATAAGCTGAATAGTACATAAAGTCCATTAGACTCATGTCAAAAGCTTAGACACAAGTCCTGACTTGAAAGGCAGCTATATGGAGCACAGGGATCAGGAGACCTAGCTTGAAGTTAGAGGGCCACACTTTAAATCAAGGCTATGCCTGATATTTCTTTGTGACCTTAGGCAAGCAGCTCAACATTCCTATGACTTAGTTTCCTCATCTGTACAGCAATAATAGTAACTACTTTATGGTATTTGTTGTTAAAATGAGAATTAAAATGCAACAAAACCTGGAACTTTCTAAGCTAGAGATACATATGAATTGCCTATGTGGAAATGACTGAAGGAAGGCAAGCTATGGGTCTGAAACTCAGGGAAGAATATGCAGCAAGAGCTATAGATTTAACAGTCATAAGTTATAAATGGGTGATAAAACAGTAAAAGTGGGTGAGATTGCTAGGAAGTGACAGTGAAACACCAATATTGAGGGTGGGCAGAGGAAGAACCTACAAGAAAATCGTGAAGAATCAGCCAGAAGAATAAGAGAAGAAAACCACTAGAGAAACTTGTAACAAATCAAAGGTTTTGATAAAGAGAAAATGCCATTACAGTCAAATTCTACAAGTAAGTCCATGAAGAAAAGGACTAAGACATTTGTCAAATATAATAACAGAGTCTCTGGTGATCTTGGAGATAGGAAGACGAATTTGACTGGAGATCAGGTATAAGGATTTGGGGGCTAAATGGGAGACGAGGACATGGAGACAGAATGAGGAGGTGGCAAATTCCAAAACCCTAATCAAGAGAGAAGACGAGAAGGTTCTGGTAGAGATAAACATAATGCAATAAGAAAGCAATTATCATAAAATTTGGGACAGTGAGAGGGGTTTTAATTGATAAACTATTCAGGGGGTTTCTGGGGTGCTGGCCGCATTCTAATGCTTGCTTGGGTCAGTGACTGAATGGTTGCTTATTTGTTTGCTTTATAATTACATGTTAAATTATAGTGTATGATTATGTGTTTTCTACATATATACTACTTTTTAATAAAAATGAAATAAACAGGGTCAAATGAATTTTTCAGGGGAAAGACTTAAGCAATGTGTATGCGTGTGTGTGTTTGTACATATATTTATTTTTTTAAGGCAAATAGCATATCTCAGTAAGATGTGAGGTGAAACTAACTGCTTACCAATTCTTTTGTCCTTTCTTTTTTCCCTGGGCACACACAGAAAACTACATTTCCCATCTTCCCTTTTAGTTAAGTTGAGCCCTGTCACTAGTTCTGGGCAATGCACTATGTGCAGAAATGATGTACATCACTTATAAGCCTGGCTGTTAAAATCTCCCACATCTTTATGGCTAGAGGGATGCATTTCAAAATGGTAGAGTCACATGAGTCTAAATCCCTGTGTTACCCTTTAGAGAAAGCCACCTAGCAGAGCAGTCTGGCCCATATCAAAAAAAATGTCTATTGTTATTAAGTCATAGAGAGTTTTGAATTCTATGTTATAGCAGCTGATATTATTCACTCTAAAACAAGACGTGAGCATGAATATAAATTATGACTTAGTATGCAGCAAAATGGCAAAACATTGCTGCAATGATGACCAAAATAGCTAGGCCTTTTGATATCAAATTCACTCTATGAGAAAAGAAGTGTATGGAAATTAAGACAAGCTGGTTACTAACAGTAAGTTACATGGTATCTTCTAAATTGATTCCCAGTTATTTGTACCTCCTTATATTCAAGCCCTTGTGATAGCCTCTTCTATTGAGTGTGGCCTGGACCTAGTCACTCATTCAACAACAGAATATGGCAGAAATAGTGGGGTATCACTTCAAAGATTATAGTATAAGAGACTGTGACTTTGCCTTACAGATAATCTCCACCCTGTTGTCCTCTCGCTTGCTCACTCTAATAAAGCAAGATGCTATGTTGCAAGCTGCCCAATGGAAAGGTCCCTGTAGCAAGAAGCAAAGGGCATCTTGCAATCAACAACCAGAAAGGAACTGATTTCCTCAGTCCAACAGCCCATGAGGAAACGACACCTGCCAAGAGTTGCATCACTGAGTTTGGAACTGGATTCACCGCCATTAGAGCCTTCTGATGACTGGGTACTTGCCAACACTCCACTGCAGCCTTCTAAGAGGCCCTGAATTAGGAGACCCAGCTAAGCTACATTTAGATTCTAACCACAGAAGCTCTGAATTAATAAACATTTGTTGCTTTAAGCCACTAAGTTTTGTGGCAATATTTTGTGCAGCAATAGACAACTAATACAGATTGATGTTACAGAGATAACATCAGTGCTATGAATATAGTTAAAAGCATGAACTATGAAGCCAAACTTCCGCCTTGGATGAGTTACTTAATCTCTCCATACCTGTTTCTTCAACTGTGAAGTGGGACTCTTTTTGTATATTATTAGTGTATAGGTATGTTTGTGATTTTTACATATTGATTTTGTATTCTGAGACTTTGCTAAAGTTGCTTATCAGCTTAAGAAGTTTTTGGGCTGAGATGACGGAGTTTCCTAAATATACATTCATGTTATCTACAAAGAGAGATAATTTGACTTCCTCTCTTCCTATTTGAATACAGTTTATTTGTTTCTCTTGCTTTAATGCCCTGGGTAGAACTTCCAATTCTAGGTTGAATAGGAGTGGTGAGGGAGGCATCCTTGTCTTGTGCCAGTTTCCAATGGGAATGTTTCCAGCTTTTGCCCATTCAGTATGATATTGGCTGTGGGTTTGTCATAAACAACTCTTATTACCTTGAGATAGGTTCCATCAATACTTAGTTGATTGAGTGTTAAAGACCTCTGCAAGGAGAACTACAAACCACTGCTTAAGGAAATAAAATAGGACACGAACAATTGGAAAAACATTCCATGCTCATGGATAGGAAGATTCAATATCATGAAAATGGCCATACTGCCCAAAGTAATTTATAGATTCAATGCTATCCCCATCAAGCTACCATTGACTTTCTACACAGAATTAGAAAAAAACTACTTTAAATTTCACATGGAACAAAAAAATAGCCCATATAGCCAAGATAATCTTAAGCAAAAAGAACAAAGCTGGAGGTATCACACTACCCAATTTCAAACTATACTACAAGGCCACAGTAACCAAACAGCATGGTACTGGTATCAAAATGAATATATAGAAAAATGGAACAGAGCAGAGGCCTCAGAAATAACACCACACATCTACAACCATCTGCTTTGAGAAACCTGATAAAAACAAGCAATGGGGAAAGGGTTCCCTATGTAACAAATGGTATTGGGAAAATTAGCTAGCCGTATGCAGAAAACTGAAACTGGACCTCTTCCTTACACCTTATACAAAAATTAACTCAAGATGGATTAAAGACTTAAATGTAAGACATAAAACCATAAAAACCCTAGAAGAAAACCTATGCAATACCATCAGGACATAGGCATGGGCAAAGATTTCATGACTAAAAACACCAAAAGCAATGGCAACAAATGCCAAAATTGACAAATGGGAACTAACTGCACTAAAGAGCTTCTACACAGCAAAAGAAACTATCATCAGAGTGAATATGCAACCTACAGAATGTGAGAAAAATTTTATAATCTATCCATCTGACAAAGGGTTAATATCCAGAATCTACAAGAAACTTATACAAATTTACATACACAAAAAAAAAAACCTCATCAAAAAGTGGGCAAAAGATATGAACAGACACTTTTCAAAAGAAGACATTTCTGTAGCCAACAAACATATGAAAAAAAGCTCGTCATCACTGGTCATTAGAGAAATACAAATCAAAACCACAATGAGATACCATCTCACGCCATTTAGAAGGGCAATCATTAAAAAGTCAGGAAACAACAGGTGCTGAGAAATAGGAACAGAATTTACACTGTTTTGGGGAGTGTAAATTAGTTCAACCATTGTGGAAGCATGGTGTGGCGATTCCTCAAGGATCTAGAACTAGAAATACCATTTGATCCAGCAATCCCATTACTGGGTATATACCCAAAGGATTATAAATCATTCTACTATAAAGAAACATTAACATGCATATTGACTGCAACACTATTGAGGATAGCAAAGATTTGGAACTAACCCAAATGCCCATCAATGTTAGACCGGATAAAGAAAAAGTGGCAAATATACACCATGGAATACTATGCAGCCATAAAAAAGGATCAGTTCATGTCCTTTGTATAGACATGGATGAAGCTAGAAACCATCATTCTCAGCAAACTAACACAGGAACAGAAAAGCAGACACTGCATGTTCTTACTCATAAGCGGGAGTTGAACAATAAGAACACATGGGCACAGAGAGGGGAACATCACACACTAGGGCCTGTTGGGTGGTGGGAGACAAGAGGAGGGATAGCATTAGGAGAAATATCTAATGTAGATGATGGGTTGATGGGAGCAGCAAACCACCATGGCACATGTATACCTATGTAACAACCCTGCACATTCCATACATGTATCCCAGAACTTAAAGTATAATTTTTTTAAAAATTGGAAAAAAAAGAAAACTGAATGAAAATATTTATAAAAGACTTAGAAATTGCCTGTCACAGAGTAAGTGCTGAAGTGTTTTTTAAAGAGAAAAGGTATACATATGATCCTCTCCTATCACGATCTCATATAGTTCATTTTCAGTCTATCTAATTTAATACTCTGACCAACTATATGAAGTAAATATTGCAATTATTCTCCCCCATTTCATGGGAATTTCTATTACTCAAAGGAATAGGTGGCAAGTTGCCTAATACATATTAGATGTCCTATAACCATTTACTGGGGAAAAAACAAGCCAAACTAAATGTTTTTAAGATGGAAATGTGTATCCTCTTTAAATTGTAATAAGATGTATCTGTCATTAATTACCATCAATACTAAAGTTTTTTGACAGGTGTCTCTCATTTTGGATAAATTTATTACAAAAATTATCCAGCCAAGCTTAGAGACTACAAAAATGGTTACATAAAAAAATATGTATGTTATTTCAACTATCACTTATAACATCTAATCCTATTACAGTGGATAGAAAAAGGTTTGCATTGACAGACATAATGCTGGAGAAAATTGCATAATATGTATTTCCTACTCTGAAGCGTGCAGTAGCCTCGTACTGTCTAAGTAAACCTCAATGCATACTTTTAATACAACCAGCAATGTCAGAACTGATGTGAAGGTTCACAAACCTATGACCATTTACATTTGCAGCAAGAAAATATTTTCAATTACATTCTATTACTCAATAATCTTTCAGCTTAATAACATTCATCATGATGGGCTGCTTAAGAGTGGCACATTCATTTTAAGATCGCTTTCCTGAATGTGCACCCTCTTGATTGGGGAAGGGGCTGTCTGCAGTGAACACAACTTCATTACTCCTCCTGGCTGCTAAGCATCATCCTTACAAATGAAAGCACTGGTAAACTTGACCATAATGACCTAACCTTGAAGCTGATAGGGTCCATATTTAGCCCTGAGTATAACGCATTATCAAGCAACAAAAATCCTCAATGCCAAAGGAGTTGGCCAAGTACCATGTGGATCTTTTCAAGCTGATACCAAGAGTCTAAAAACAAGTTTGATTCCAAGTCCTAATCTTGTTAGGTTCAAGATGGTCCCAACTTAATCTATTGATTCAATACCTAATTAGTATACTCTATGTGCCAGACACTGTTCTAACTCTGAAACAAACAAACAAAAAATATCTGCCTGGGTGGAGTAATATTCAGAGGATACTAAAAATAAGTTACATAAGTAAGTGATACAGTATTATAAGATGCTTAACAGCCAAGAAGAGAAAATTAAAAGCAGGGGAAGAGGAATACTTGAACAGCAGTAGAAAGAGATTAAATTTTAAAATTCAGAGAGTGACTAGTGAAGCAATCACCAAGATGAAAACATCTAAGTAGAAATGTTCAGGAAATGAGAAATGAGCATGTGAATAAATGTCAGAACAACAACAACAAAAATTCAGGCAGAGGAAATAACGAGTGAGGCAAAAGCATGCCCAGAGGGTTGGAAAAAATAGCAAAGAGGGCTAGTGTAGCTGATACAGACTGAGCAAGAGGAAAGTTGTAGGAGATCAGGTCAGAGAGGGAATAGAGAGCCAGGCCATGAAGGACTTCATAAGTTACACAGAAATAAGAACCAATGGGAGTCATTGCAGCATTTGAGCTGAGGAAAAGACATGCTCTGATTTACATTTTAACTGTAGCTCTCTAGCTGTTGTGTTGAGAAGAGACTGAAGGAGACAAGAACCAGAAGAGGAAGACCAGTCGGGAGCTACTGCAGAATTCAGGAGAGAGGCGAGGGCAGCCTGGATCAGGGTAGGAGCATTGAGGAGAGGTAAAATTCTCTATATATTTTGAAAGCCAGGCAATGGGATTTTGCTAGCAAGCTACAGATGGAACATGAAAAGTAGAGACGACACCAAAGTATTAGGCCTGAGTGTCGATAGGGTCAAAGAAGGAAAGACTGCAAGAGTAGCAGATTACTGGGGAGAATACAGGGAGATCAGTTTGGGGTATGTCACCTTGAGACGTCTAATAGACATATATAGTAGAAATTAGAGCTGTTCAGAAACAATTATTTTTTTCTCCTTTCAAGCACCTTGAAAGGACAATTGTATTTCCCTACCCTCTTTGACTTGATTTGTTCAAAAGGAAAGGAAACAGAATTACCTCTGTTGCTTCTGGTCAGAAGCTTTGTTGTCAAATACTGGCAAAGAAAATAAACATAGGATACTTCTCTCCCTTTTTTCCCAAATGTATTCCATGTCCTCAGATTCTGTGCCATAGAAAATATTGGTCCGAATTCTGTGCCACAGAAAAGATTGTTCTGTGCATGTACCCCAGAATCTAAAGTGCAATTAAAATATATATATATTTATATATATAATATATAGTTATATATATATATGATATTTTGTTATATATATTTAAATATATAACATCTAATATTTAAATATATATTTAAATATATAACATATAATATTTATATATATTATATATAAATATATACATTTTAATTGCACTTTTTAAAATTGCACATATATATATATGTTTTTATATATACATATATTTTATATATATATATGTATTTTGTAGAGACAGGGTCTTGCTACATTACCCAGGCTGGTCTCAAACTCCTGGTCTCAAGCAATCCTGATCTCAAGTGGTCTCCCAAAGTGCTGGGTTACAGGCATGAGCCGTCATAGCTGGCCTGTTCTTGGTTCTTTGTGCCCTAATCCCCTACTTAATTTAAGATGGATGCATCTGAGTAGCCAAGCCCAGGTCACAGGCATAGGCTTTAGCTGTAAGGGAGCTTGGAAAGTGAGTAGATGGCCTTTCACCAATTACAGAATATTAATATTTTTCTGCTCTTTTGCTGTTCTAAGGGGACTTTTTGAAATAGGACCTAATGAAGGGAAAAGAGAAACATTGACAAAGTCTGATTAGGTACTATTAGATTTCAGTCAAGTAGGCTTTTGTAAGGCTATAAGAATTTAATCATATTTATACCAACCTTTAAAATAAAAATTGTTAACACATTTTTTAAAAAGAAAATATTGGTCCATAACTGATAATGTTCAATTAGTTAGTGTAGGAAATAAAGTATCACACAAAACATCCATTCTTTAATTTCCCACATTACATTCAAGTACTCTATCTGTTGTGAATAATTTTCTCTTCCACTGCACAAATACTTTCCTACCTTTGAGTATACAATATTTAACCTATTAAATAGTAGGTGAACCATTCAATGTTAAGACATTCATTCTCACAGACACACACATAGTAAATATCCTTTGGGTTTCAGAAGGCTTGCTAAATTGACATTTATAGGACTAGCTGAACTAAATTCCTCTTTTTTCCTTTCCTTTTATTAAGTCCTTAGCTTACTTTGGAGATATTCTTGCAGACTTCCATGTCTCATCAACTCTGTGATAATATAAATTGGATCTTCTAAAGTGCAAACAGCGTAAAGCTGGATAAGCTTTGGATGTCTTAGGTTCTTCATTATCTGTGCCTCCCTCAGGAAGTCATTTGGATCCATTGAACCTGAAACAAGAAGAAGGGGAAATCACTTTATGTTTCTGAGGCATTCCTATCCTCACAGCAGCCTAGTGGGAATCATCAAGATTGCCTCCTCCTTCTCAGTAGAGTAAGAGCAGCAGTATCACAAATCTTCAGAGTTATCAAGAAGAGAATCAGTTCAGCCAGTGCAACCTAATAACTGGAAGTGTTGGTGCATCAGGAGAATATGGTTTATATGTTATGACCTGTAGGTGAAGAGAGGTTGATTCAGGTCTATATGAAAAATGAAGGAAAAAGGAGAGACTGACAATCTAATTGATAAAACAAGCCATCTTAACACAAAAGGAAAACATTCTATTAACACGAGCACTGGAGGGCACTGAATATTTAAGTACTGCAGCCAGAGCTTTTTGTATCCAGAGAAGACTGATAGCTGCCCTGTCCTTAGTGCCCACTGTGGGAACAGCTGGAAAAAAATCCTAAAACAGCGAGAGTCTGCCATATTTTTGTCTTTAATTCTGTAGGAACATAGCATGTAGGCCAAGTGGAAAACATCCATGACCATCCCCAAAAGTTAATGGAGTTTTTTTCACCTGTTTTACATGCTGAACTTGAAACTGATATTTAATATTTTATCCTGTACTATCTGCTTCCACAATAAGAGCCTTAATAGTGTGGCCAAATGGAGGAGAGACAGTATTAAGCCCTATTTAGAAGGGTCTTCTACAATTAAATTGTATTTTAATGGCTCCACTCTGACTCGCTATGCAAGGTGTCAAGTAGCTACCATCAAATAAAATCTAAAAGGAGAAAAGTTATCTGGAGTTTACATTTCATCAGTAACTTTAAAATCTTTTCTTTTAGAATATGATGTTTCAGAGCACTGCTGTAATTAAAGGAATACTGTTATTTTACATCTTAGTATTCACTATGAATAATGCACATTTGGTTTCCATTGATGCTCAAAGAGGCTACTATTTCCTCATCCTCTCCATATTGAAGACTTTACAACTGATATATAAACCCAGCCATGGATAAGCTTTGACATTCTAAGTTGATGCTGTGACTTGTTTATTAATGTGAAGTTAAGATGAGTTAGTTACATGTGACCTGCACATCATTTCACATAAAACATTTAAGCAGTCTACCTTTTGAGAATCCAGAAGTTCAGAACTGGACTGATCAGACTGCATTCTAGACAAATCTCAGCTCTGCCACTAGCTTCCTGTGTGATCTTGAGCAAGTTGTATCAAACCACACTAAACTTCAGTTTCTTCATCTATAAAATGTGGCTAATATTTTTACTGACACCGTAAGATCATTACCAAGATAATATCAATGCCTGGCATGTATGTATTCGATGACTTTTGACCATTACTTATGTTATCATTGGTACGCATAGTTTTGGAAAAACCAAACAGACCAGCTGTAAGTATATTTCATAGGCTAAGGACAAAAAGGGGCAAGGACTTAAAGAGAGATAATAGGAGAAAATGGCCGATTTCTCTTTCAATTACATGTTTCTGAGCTCCATCGATTTCATCTCTAACATTGGTTTACTCCACACAACCAAATAGGATGAAAATTTGGAATCACAGTTGCAAAATGGAGCTGGGAATATGGGACGCCTAAACCATAATAAAGGACTTTGTTCTTGATTATTTCACCTAGTTTGGCCTATGATCAAATATCAATATGGTGGGGACCCCCACCACTACCACCCAAAAAAAAAGAAGCTTCCGGTGATAGCAGCAATAATGATCACCATACAAAAAATTAAGCTGGGTGCGGTGGCTCGTGCCTGTGATCCCAGCACTTTGGGAGGTCAAGGCAGGGGGAATCACCTGAGGTCAGGGGTTAGAGACCAGCCTGGCCAACATAGCAAAACCTCGTCTCTACTAAAAACATAAAAATTTGCCGGGCATGGTGGTGGATGCCTGTAATCCCAGCTACTTGGGAGGCTGAGGCAAGAGAATCACTTGAACCTGGGAGGTGAAGGTTGCAGTGAGCTGAGAGTGTGCCATTGCACTTCAGCCCAAGAAACAACAAGTCTCCACCTCAAAAAAAAAAAAAAGAAAGATAAAATTATATACACAATATATTTTTATGTTAATGAAATTTCTATGTGTGTGGCCATCAGACTCATGCAATGCAGGACAGTCAAACTCATTCCCAAATCAGACTATGCACAAGAACTGAAATCACAGTAGGTCAGAAGCCTCTGCAGGTGAAGTCTGTTTCAGAGCACTCCTTCATGGCCATACTGCTTATGGCTGACCAGCTGCAGAGTAAAGGAAACCCAACCTCAACTCAGCTAGTAATGTAACATTAAATATTAATTTTTGCCTGTCAAAGCTACTGTGGAAGTTCATTTCGAGCTCATCTTTATTGCACAGCAGCCTGCTCAGCAATAAATAGCTGCTAAGATTGATTAATGGCCTCAGTGAAGTGAAGACATTTAACCAATCACTAAACTGTTTGTGGCTATTACACTGTAAATCAATAATAATTATTCCTGTTGGAGTGAAAACTATCATGGGTTTTTTAAATATGAGAACTCTGACTTTTTTTGTTATCTTTTGACTTCCCAAAGGGCTCCCTTAGAGAACAGTGTTAGGGAGGCTAGCTAGCTGCCTCTTCTTAGAAAAGAATTATTAGATTGGACAACAAAGTTTAGCCACAATTATTAACAAGATTGGGATTTAAAAGTATATACACCCAGTGATTGTGAAAATCTAAGGTGCTAGAACAGAATGTCCTCACCTGGAATACTAATATAGCATCTGGCCACTTAAACATACCTCTCTCTTATTTCAACTGGCAGATGAAAATGCTGAAACTGAACTCCTGCACTAGCAAATTTGTACTTCAGTGGACACATCTGTCAGGAGTCCCATGGAGACTAACAATTATTAAGAACTTGCTGCATATACTTTATGTACATTGACTCCATTTGTCCTCATAAAACCCTAGAAAGTAGGAACTATTATAATTACCACTTCCAGATAAGAAGATTCAAAAAGGTTAAGAAATTGTCCAAAGTCACAGGGGGCAGAGCCAGGTTGAAACACAGGTTTATCTTATATCAAATTTGACACTATTAACTTGTTAAACCAGAGGAGCCCAACGTTTTCAGTTCATGGAACCCTTAGTGTCTCCATCACTTTTTTCATGATGTCCCCAAGTGAAGATAAAAACCTGACAGTTCTTTTGATTACTGGGTTAAATTCAAACAAGTCAAGAAGTATTTATCCTAACAATTTAACAGCCGTTTGAAAAAGTAACTCAGGTAAATTGAAAGGAAAAGATAGCTTTTCATTTAATTCTTAACCACAAGTGCTTCTAAAATGATATATGCACCCCTGAGGCACTGCACAACTTCTCCAATCTTAGAATCAGATTAAGCACGCTACCCCCATGTTCTGGTGCCTATTGATTTTTGAGTGGATTTTGCATTTGACCATAACAACTATCAAAAACCCAGCTTCACAAAGATATGATCAACCAAAGGAATGTTGATCTAAGGTTGAAACCATGAACTGCTTCAAGGTAGCAGCTTGTACAGTATTCAGAATGTTGACTTCAAAACTCTTAAATATTCCACAGCACTCCTGTGAATTTACCATGGTGGCCACATTAGCCTTGGCACACAGTATGGGAACCATCATGTTAGTCTATGCTGCTGGCCAACAAATCCGAAGTACGCAAGTTCTGCCACCAGGAGGCTTTCCAAACCTCTAAGAATTCTGGGTTAGGTAAATAATGCAGGTCCCCCAGAAAACTACAATCTAACCTATGTTTATTATTTTTACCTCTGTTATTAAAGGTGCATATAAGGCTACTACAGTAATGTTGCACTTTTATAGACTGTCACTTCCATGAGGTGTGATACAATAATAATAGATGTGGGTACAAATCCCAGCTATACCATTTGCTGACTTTTTCATTATAATAATAATAGCTTTTATCAGTCACTTACTGTGAACCAGGTACTATACAAAACATTTCCACTAATCACTTAATTTATCTTCTTGGTTGGCCTTATCATTATCTCTATTTTATAAATGACAAAACTGAAGCATAGAGTTCAAACATTTGCTAAAGATCCAATGCCTAGAAAGTATTTGAAAAGTTACTTAATCTCTCTTTAAAATAGAGGGAATAAAGCCTGGCTGAATAAACACTGATTTCAGTATACTTTTACTTGCCATCACAGGAAAAAGAAAGATGGAAGGGGAAAAAAAGTTCCTACATTTTCAAATACAAGGTTCTTTAGATGGACCATTTTGCCTTTTAACCGTACAAAATTTCTACTTTTAAAAATAGTTGTTCCCTGAAGAGTATCAAGATTCCTTCTGATTTTTTAAAAATATTTTCAGTTAAGTCAGTATTTGTTAACTGAGACTAGGAACAAAATGGGAAGAAGGACGTTAGAAGACTGAATTCTAACTCCAGAGAAGAGATGAGTTGTCAGGCTCTTCAATCAGCAATATTTTAAGACTCAACTGATGTTGAGGAATTGTGCTCTTGTTTTTATATTGTAAAGCCTTAGCCATAGGTTGGGGTCACCCGGGTTAGAGAGACTGAGCACAACACCTGCTTGCTGCTAGCATTAGCCACCCCATGACCTTTTAGGCATTTACAGTGTTAAACTGAGCTCATAAAAATCAGCATATGCCATTTAACCTTTATTATTCTCGCACCTGGTTTTAATGTCTTCACTGCCACTGGAGTGGTATTGTTCCACAGACCTTCCCATACTTCACCAAACTGACCAGATCCCAATCGCTTCAGAAGCTGTATGGAGTTGCGGTCTATCTCCCACTGGTCCACAGTTTTGTAAGACAAATCAAATGGAGCTGGGACCTGGATCTGTTTCACAGAATAATAAGAACAATTGTTAATTTAGAAAAAATGTAGATTTAATATTATTTTGTTGAACATAATGGTTTAGGTACTTTTAAAGAAAACATTTTTTAAAACACAACATTGTAAACAGTCTTCTAATTACTTCAAAACCAAAAAACAATGGTGGGAGAATCTGCATTGTTAGCTCTTCAAATTGATCTTCCACAACTTGGGAAGTCAGGCACCTCGTTGTCCATCTGTGTGATCCCATACCTAACGCCATCCTCACTCAAGTCTGGAATGACTTCTCTCTACCCCTCTGCCTAGCTAAATCCTCTCAGTTTCAAGGCCCAGTTGAAGTTCCATCTCACCCACAAATCCTTCCCAAACCCTTTGGCTATAGTATATATTATACGTATCATCTCTTTTTGCATAATTAAATGTTTTATATATTTCAAACTCATTTTATCATTTCTTTATTTGTTCATTAATTTATTTACTCATTCATTTAGTAAGTAAAATTGTTTTAAGCATTAACTAGGTACTTTTCTATAAACAAAACAAGCAAGACCCCTGCCCTCCTAGAACTCATAGTCTAGTTTACCACCTGCCCCATGGTCTCTGTTGCAGCTTGTAAACTCTGCTGTTATGGCACAAAAGAATCCAAAGAAAGCTCGTCTATGAATGAGCATCTGTGCAAATAAAACTTATTTCTAAAAACAAGCATAGGTCAGTGTGAGCTCATGGGCCATGGTTTGTCTATACCTGCCCTCAGGTAATAAAATTGTCATTTTATTAGCCACCGCATGAAGAGAAGCAGCCCAGTGGGGTTGCTTCCTTTTTTCCTCTAGATATCTGACAAATACTCAGATATCTGGAGGAAAAAAATTAACTTCAATAAACAAACACAGCTTGAAAGCATTTTCACCTTTAAGCATGGTTTCCCCAGCTTGACACACAGGCCATCACTTGTCTTGGTGTAGTGGCTCACAAACTCGTTCAGTGTTGAAAAGGTTCTTCTCCGGGTGAGAAAAAAGCCCCCTTCATCCAGTCTTTTAATTCTGTAGTGTTTTACAACTCCTCCATCTAAAACTGGGACCCAAAATAATTCCTGTTAATAAGCTTCTTGCTAAAGCCAAGCAGATTTATTTACTTTGTGGTGACATTTTCAATGCATAAAATGAAATCTATATAAAATTCTACGTATTTCTCAACTTCGTGTCAGAAGACTTAAGAAAGTTTACAAACAATACAGAACAAAAGAGCGGGTGTGAGAATTGGGAAATAATACTGAAGGAAATGTAAAAACAAAGGGGTGAGGCTAGCACTAAAAGAATCCATGATTCGAAGTCTAATATATGTGATTAAAACAAGCCATAAAATTGACTCTATCACTCCAGCAATGCAGAGAAGAAAATCTTACCATTTGGGGATTCACAATGTCCATAAGATAAAATCATGAAAGGTTTTTAGGAATAGTTCAACTCTTCCTGGTGCAGAGACCAGGGAGAAACTTCTCCCATGAAATCCTACAATGTGGTGATGGAAATAAACAGTATGCTCAATACCACCTTATAATAATGCATGGAATTCCACAGGACTGTTCATTATACTGTACCTCAATGCAGGTTGGTAACAGAATGTCCTAACACAGTTCAAGAGAATCAATTCCACAGAGTTTAAACTGATTCAGTCCACATATGACACATTCCAGCAGTATTGCTCACTCCAAGAGTAAGTCCTATAGTATCTACAGGAATAACTAGACTGAATCACTTTTACCTAGTTTGGCTTGCAGTGGATATTTTGTTACTCTTGCCACCCACCTCCCACTGGCCCTTCTTCTGTTAACAGCCCCCCCAATTTTCCTCAGGAATTTTTGCTTTTCTAAAAACATGTGGTCCAGAGGGACCTGGTAGCTACCTGGAGCTGAAGAAGACAGAATCAGTGCAATAAGAGCCAAAGACCCCCAATTCCAGGATTTGAGTTAGGAAGTTCCAGGAAGACAGAAAGAGTTTTGTTACTGTGGCTGTTGTTTTGGTTTTGGTTTACTGATGGGAGTTTGGAGCTATTGGCAGAATCCTGGCCTCTAGGCAGGAAGCAAGCTTCCTGAGAAAAGAAGCAGCCCACTGGGAAGCAGTCTTGATTTGGAAAGTGAAGCTTAATCCCAAGAGCCAGCCAAGCCTGGCTTTTCAGCTACAAGAGTCAATTAATTACCTTCTTGGTTAAACTATTTTGAATACAGATTTCTGTACTTACATTCAAAATATTGATTAATGTACTTTATACCTATGTTTTCACTTAACAAAGTTATTGGTAAGTATTGGGTAGCATTTACCACTATAATGCTATTCTGCATTCCTTGCTAAATATAAAATTTTATGCTTCAATGATTAGTCAGGCTGGTGCAAGGCCCTTATGAAAGGAAATAAGACATCCCAATCCCCATATGGAGGTTTACTGAGGGCATGCCAAGAGCTAGGACAATTTTTTTTTTTTCAAAAAAAGGAATTGGCAACACCCAAAAGGCTTAAAATGAAAAAAGGCAGTTTTAACAAGTATTAACAAGGAAATGGAGTGACTTCCCACACATAGTTGACGGAAGAGTAGTTTTAGCACCACTTTGGAAAACTGTTTTTCCTTATCTACTAGAGTTGAACACAGTCACACATGTAATACAGTAATTCTACTCCTAAGCATAAAATCAATATATTCACCAAAATATGTGTTTAAGAATGTTTTTATTTGCCTGATTTTAAGGGTCTAAACCTGGAAACAATCCAAATGTTCATCAACCAATAAATAGAACTATCCAAATGTCTATCAAATAATAAACAACGGAATTAACTAAAAAATTGTCATCTAGTGGAATACAGATTTGTAAATAAACAAAAACCACAGCTACACACAATGGTGTGAGTGAATCTCACAAACTCAAATATATAGTCTCATTATTAAAAAACAAGGTTGGGTGTGGTGGCTCACACCTTCAGTCACAGCATTTTGGGAGGTTGAGATGGGAAAATTACTTGAGGCCAGGAGTTTGAGGCCAGTCTAGGCAACAGCAGCAGACCCTGTCTCAACAAAAAATAACAATAATAATAATAATTTTTAAAAATTAGCCAGCGTTGGTGGCACATGCCTGTAGTCACAGCTACTTGGCAGGCTGAGGCAAGAGGATCACTTCAGCCCAGAAAGTCAAGGCTGCAGTGAGTTATGATTGATTGTGCCACTGCACTCCAGTTCAGCCTGGGCAACAGAATGAGACACTGTCTCAAAAAACAAACAAACAAAAATCTTAAAAACAGGCAAAACTATTGATATGAGGAGTCAGTGACTGGGGTGTTAGCCTTATTCTGCTTCTTAACTTGGTGCTGGTTACCTGAGTTTATATACTTTGTATTCACCAAACTGAACTCTTACAAATTATATACTTTTATTGTATGTATCACACTTCAATTTAAAAGAATACTTTTAAAAATTGGTTATTTGCTTCTGTTTATGAACAAACGGGACATCGAGTCTCCAAACTGCTACATTAAGGTTAATGCTGTATTATTTCAGTATAGAGCGTTATTAAAGTAAATGTTACCTAATTTTCACCTTGGATATAAAAATTCTCAGTAACATACATGTAGAATATTAACTTCAAGCAAATAAGTTTTCTAGTAAGCACTGTGAGAAACCTGGCTACAAAATGCCCTTCTAAATAACTGAGTTGACTTGCAGAATAGGACTATTTGCTGTAAGCAAGAAAAATGCAGGGAAATATCAAACAAAAATCAAGACCTTAGGTGTACAACCTTAAATTTGAAGGTAACCTTTTTAACACAGCAGCAACCACAATAATGTAACCAATGCAACAGACAAGCACAACTAATAATTAAAGCATACACCTTTCATGTTCTTCCCAATGGTCTTTAATTTAGACTCTGAGAATAATCCTCCCTGTCCCTAGATGAAAGGTCCAGCAAAGTTTTTCTGCCCATTTTTCGGTATTAGACAGTCATACTTCCACTTTAAATCACTAACACTGTCTCAGTTCAAGCTTAGAATGCCCAGTCCCAGACATTAACCAAAACACTCTACTGCTATGTGATCAGATGTCAAATCTTCTCCCTTCCCTAGCTCAGGCCCACATCAAGCCAAAAGGCAGCAATGGAAACATAATACGGGTGGCTTCCTCTCTGTTTCTCTGCTATAGCTGATCCCCTACTTTCCCTTGCCAGCTGGGTTCTAAGCATCCAGGGTAAAAGCAGAGAAAAGAGGAAGTAAAGGATGAGAAGGCCATACTCAGTTGAATTCCCACTCCAAGCCTGCTGGCAGAAACTCATGCTGACTTCTCTCTGGGACACTCATGCAGGCCTTTTGGGGCTTCTCCATCTCTAAAGAAACTCTCACGGCAGTTGCTAAGATGCAGGAATTTCTAGGATGCCTGCACCCAATCACCTCTCAGCTTCTGTTTCCTGAGCAATTCGCCCACCACTTTCTCCCGTATAGGTCTCCTCTTACCCTCCAGCAGAAGCTTTCTTGGGCAAAACCCAAAACTCCTCCAGACTGTCCATCTGCAGTGCCATGGCACTTTTGCTCATTAGGAGACCCACTTACGGTCCCGAGATAATATTTACACATCCCTTTCCTTGGCAATTAATTACCTGGAGGAGAGAGAGGCTGGTGCCCCAAGGCATCTCTTTCCTACTTCCACATGATGCTTTAGCCTCCTCAACCTGAGTCAGGCACCTGTGTTCTACCTTCCCAACTGTACAGGGTGGAGAGTTAGCTCTCAGAGTGGCCTTCCTGAAGCACCCTTTCACGAGGTTTGGGGTCCCCTTCATCAACCCAAGAATAAAGGGGGTCCCATAGTGTGCCAACAGCTTTCTTCAACAGCAAAATGCCATCAGGAAATTCTTCCTCCATTGCACTCCTTGTATTCTTTCTAAATCATTAACAAGCTGAGAGATCCAAGAGCAGCCATACCTATCTTTGACCAATTCCTTTGGCAACTCTGAGTATGGAGATCTGACTTTGAAATTGTACTTCTACTGTGTCTTAATAACCTCAACCAAAAACTCAATTTTAACATTGTTATATTCACATTTATTGACCCAAACACTATGCTAAGTATTATTTTACATTATTTTGTTGTAATCTTGTAACAGTTATATAAGGTAGTTTATTGGGTCCATTTTATTACTCATAAAAAGAGAGTAGGTGGCACTGCCAAGATTCAACTTGAAGCCTTGTGACTCTAAGATGCTCTATAACCAGCAGATTTCATATAGCAGATCCAAATGTCTGATAAGGCACACCTCCAGTTTATGACAACAATGTTATGTCATCTGTGTTCAGGATAATGTTCTACTTTCAGCAATGATATTATTCAACCATGTTAATGTTTTCCCTTACATTAAAATACAAAAGGCAAGAATACGTTTAGCTCCTTCAAGAGCAAAATCATTTTCTTAAACTTTTTTGTGTTTCTGGAATATATCCTTGTACTCTGATTTGTCAAGTTAGCATTCCCACTGGTTATGACTCTTGGACCAGTGTTAATTGCCCTATATAATCACTATCAAATAGAGGACTTTTATTAGGTTACGGAGCTTATCTCATAATAAATTCCTGTATATGGATTAAAAAGCCAACAAAGGGCTAGGCAGGGTGGCTCATGCCTGTAATCCCAACACTTTGGGAAGCTGAGGCAGGTAGATCACAGGACAGGAGTTTAAGACCAGCCTGGCCAACATGGCGAAACCCCATCTCTACTACAAATACAAAAAATTAGCCAGGTATGGTGGCACGTGCCTGTAATCTGATCTACTCAGAAGGCTAAGGCAGGAGAATCATTGAACCAGGGAAGCAGAGGTTTCAGTGAACCAAGATCATGCCACTGCACTCCAGCCTGGGCAACAGAGTAAGACTCTGTCTCAAAAAAAAAAAAAAAAAAAAGCCAACAAAAAGTCAAAGACAGCTATAAACAATATCATGTTAGTCTCAATTCATTTATCCACAAAGTTATAAAAATATAAGTAAAAGGATATGTAGATATATAATATACTTGCTATTTATATAAATTCTTGGCCTAAATGTTC